CGGGGTTTCTCGGCTCGACTTCGCTGCTGTCCTGACAACCCTCGTGTCTGTTCATAAATAAGCGTTTTTCTTCCAGCCTTCACAAATGCTATGGTAATTTCTGAATGAATGCTTTGACCTTGTAGGATCCTGAAAACCCAGCACCACAGGACAAGTGCGTTGTCAAAATAAAAGGCAAGTCATGGATTTGAGGTTCTCACAGCGGCGTCAGCCAACTGTTGTCTGTAGTATGGTGAAAGTCAACCATGTTTTGGAGGAATATATCGCTTCCATCTTCAGGGTCAAAGAGTAAGCCAAGTAAGAAATAAGCATGATTCCTGCCTGACTACACGGCATTATGAAGGTAAGGTAAAAGATAGAGTTGAAATCACACACGGAAGCTGAGGATTCTACGGCATTGGAAGCCGTTACCAGTTTGTGACCATTGGGGCCCATAGACCTTCCTGTACAATGGACACTGCAGGCTCTTTCCCTGGGGGTAAAGCGGCCGGAGCATTAATCTGATCACTTACCTCAAGTGACGAGGTTCAGAAAAGTGGAGTTATACAGCTACTCCTCCATGTTTTCATGGTACAGCGATTAATTAATTAAGCACGGGGAGAATTTTAACTTTAATCTTTTTACCTCTGAAACTATGGAATGATACAGAATTACTGGGTTTTTGGACTTGTTCCATTATGAGGTATTCTAGAAAGTAGACGATGGCCAAGGTCCAAACCCCAGTAATTGTGAGTGCTATACACCGCCGTCAGAACCCGTTAGAATCCATGGAATAATTGTTTTGTAGTACACGTGACAGTCTCAATATGCCCACTACTGGGAGTATGATGACAGTGATGATTGTGATTTGAAAAAAAAAAAAAATCCCAAATCCGCTTTCATTAGATAGTGTCCCACGAGATGTATTTACCGAGATAACTATTTATTTGACTAAATATATTGAAGTAAGAGATAATTGAACAATGTTATCTTGTGGGATGTGGCGCCAAGTTTGCCTCTGTTTCGGAGAAGCGTGCGGCCTCAGCCTTCAAGGTCTCAAGGGGCCGCGCCAGAGCTCAAGCGGTTAGTCGCTGGCTTCCCACCGCGGCAGCCCGGGTTCGAATCCGGGTCTGGTCAAGTGGGATTTGTGGTGGACAAAGTGGCGCTGGGGAAGGTTTTCTCCGAGTACTTCGGTTTCCCCTGCCAATCTTCATTCCACCAATTGCTCCACAATCACCCTCACCTATTATCTGGGACTGGTACAATAGGCCAGAAGTGGCCGCAGTACAAGGGACTTAGTCCCACCCCACTGGCAAAAAAAAAAAAAAAAAAAGAGGCAAGCAAGGAGCACGTTAAAGTCGCGGACCTTAAACCTCACATGAGAGGTCTGTGGAGCAGTTCCGCGCTAAATATAGATGGTGACTTAAGTTTCGCGTCATCTGCCATGAGCAAAGAATTCGGACTGAATATTTGCTCATATCAGTTTATCGCATGAACTGTTGAAATGCTGTGGCCAAGGCTGCACGCGCCGACGCAAAATGCGTAGTCATAAGCGTCCTACAGTGTCTAGGCTTGGCTGTAATAACATGGGCTGGTGACTGAGAGCCTGATAACCCTTCAAAAAGAAGTGTTTGCTCTGCAGATCTTCATGTTCACAGTTTTCAGTGGGGCATGGACACCGACTGAAGTTTCCAGTAGATTCTGGCAAATTTCCTGGAAGCAAATCCATCTGGCTTTGTTCCAAACCTATTAAATTCACTATTCAGCGATCATCTAGTCTAGATGCTAATAGCCTTGCAGAAGAGCCCACCAAGAAAACTAAGACATAGAACCTCCGCATTCTGCCCACACAATAAACAGCGACTGTTTCCCTAAACAGCTTTAACCGGTTGGGCTTTGTAGTGGAGACGTGATGTATTTCCTGTGAGGTATGAACTGATCCCTCATACATTATTTGGAAGAAATTCAGGGTACAAAATCGTGAGAATGATCATGTTCGCAACACAGGACATGGAGAATCCGACCATAGAAAGTATAAGAGGCTTAAACATGACGGTAGTCAAGCTTACGACCGTTCAAGTGACTAAGCTGCCGTTGTTGCATGAGATACTTAAGATGGACATGATCTGCGCTGCAAAGTCTGAACTAACAGAGGAATTGTATATAGTGCACAGGGAAGAATTTTCAGTAACACGCTGTATGTGCGGTACGTACACTTACCAAAGGCGACGCGAAACCTATTCATAAGTGACGAAGCCATCCTCTTGTGAGAGAGGAAGGACTATTACTGTAAGGGTTCAGCTGCAAAGAAAAACTCTGGTCGTGATCCTCGAGGTTCTTGGCACCAAGACGAACTGATTGGCGGTGAACCGCCAGTCTTAAAGTAACTGTGACTGTGTGTTTGAGTGAGCCCGTGTGGAGGCGGGTTCCAATACCTCCACCGCAGCCCTGAGAGTTGTAGGGGGAGACGAAATGGGAACCCAGTGCCTGAGGGTGTACCTGGCCCCCAATATTCCTGAAGTATATAAATACGGGTAGCTGGCCCTTCAGGCTGGGGGAGTCTCCAATGTGGAACAGTAAAATGTGGTCATGATTCTGGCGGGACGCGGACTCGAGAATGACTGCGCTGGCGAGGCCCAGCAGCAATTGTAAATTAAAGATTACAGAAGCTGGTAGCTGAGGCCGGGGATAGTTGGGAACCCAGAGGAAGGGGAGCGTCCGCCGTTGAAAGTAGCTACTAAGCACCGCTGTGAATTCCGTGACTGAGGAAACTAGTCTGTGCGTGGTAGTGATATGTGAAGTGTGGTCACGAGTAGTTTAAGAATTCAATAAATCTTATTACCAATGGGAACCCCGTCTATAGTCACTCAAACATGTGACAATATTTTACTTTTGTGCGTTCAACATAATTTTGAGCATACTTCATAGTTTCCACATGTACTGCCTTCGTGACCCTGCTTATGTCCAACAGATATTGCCATACATGCGGTAGCATCTCTCTTGTGACGTGCTCAGCGGTTTGTCCTTACTCCCATTTGATCAGGTATCGCATTTTGTCCAAATAAACGCCATTCCTTACATAGCCACAGAACTGAACTATTCCTGCCAATCCATCTTCTGGGAAATGTTGCACCGAAAAATTCCGTGACACGTCTCGAGAAATTAGGCCGCGCGGCACTTCGCTGGTGGCCGCTGTAAAGGCGCAATATTCGGTGCTCACGTGGAAGAACTTGGAGATAGGATAATATTAAAACTGCACCTAATCAAATATGCAGACTGGATTCAACTGGCTCAGGAGGAGATCCAATGGCTGGCTCTTGTAAACATGGTAATGAACTGATACTGTATTCCTGCACTAAACGGAGAAGTTCGGCAGAAGGAAAGATGCGATGTACCAGCATCCACGCGAAAGTATTTATTTATTTGCGATACGGTAAAATATTTTAAGCTTCTATTCAAATAAAAGGTCAAGTTGTTCCTGTGCTTAAATAATTAAGCACTACGCCATAAAGGTGTATGGGGGAGTGGGTGTATAGATCTACGTTTTCTTGACCTCGGAACTAGTTGGAGGTGAGCGGTCAGCTACAGGTCCCGGCCGCTTTACCCCCAAGGTAAGAGCCTCCGATCCTCATCAGATAGGAGGCTGGTTGGGTCCCAGAGCCGGTCTGGACCACGTGGAGAGGAGAAAATTCTTGACCCTACCGGGGCTCGAACTCTGACCGTTCGGCCATCCAACACGTAGCCAGTCGCAATACCGACTGAGCTATCCCGGCTCCTAGTGTTTATTTAGATACGCCCAAATAGAAAATTTTGCTTAAATTTGTATTTATATGCATGTAGAAATGCAGGCCGCGCCATAGCTCAAGCGGTTAGTCGCTGCCTTCCCACCGCGGTGGCCCGAGTTCAATCCCGGGCCTGGTCAAGTGGGATTTGTGGTGGACAAAGTGGCGCTGGGGTGGGTTTTCTCCGAGTACTTTGGTTTCCCCTGCCAATCTTCATTCCACTAAATTCTCCATCATCATTATCACCCGGGGCAGGTACAATAGGCCAATCAGTGGCCGCCGTGCCGAGTGGACCCAGCTGGACTCCAGCCCCCACTAGCGAATGCAGAAATGCACGCCGATATTCTGGCGGGAGGGAATTTTCGTTCAGTCGATGTAAGAGCATTCGGATATATTCCTCGTGTTCGGGAGACAGTGGTTTGTGCTGAGTAGAAGTGTGCAAATGTACGGAGACCGTAACGGGTGCAGGCAAACCAAGAGGAGACCAAATAAATTAAAGTTCTAGAGACGAACAAAAACATGGTCACGAGTCCCGAAGGGGCCCGAAACCAAGAATAACTATCTTTACGGGGGCCAGCAACAATTTACTGTTATGCTATGCTATATCATAACAGTTTAGTTTATTTATCTCAAAAACTGTAAGATTCACGAAGAAATGAATTAGGAATAAAATATATCACATTTGTCTTTAGAACTTCTGCTCGAAACATTTCTTTCTCCAACAAATATTTTATGAGTTATGCTTGAATATGCCGCACACACGCGTGTAGGTCTTTATGTAGAGAGCATCCATTGCCTTCGTGCGATTTTAAACAAAATTGGAATTTGTCAGCGGATTTTATTAAATCTCTCCAAAATTCGGTGTTAAGAAAGTTTCCTGCTACAGACAGACCAGTCACGAAACACCGTAGGGAAATATCTGCGACGCTGAACTTGTGCGAGAAATCTCCTGACTGTGTCTCCGCGATAGCTCGGTCGGCTACGGACTGGGTTTTCATTCCCGGCAGGTTTCCATATCCAGTGGTTACCGGGGGGTTGCCTCTATCCCTGGGGGTAATGCGGCTTGAGCGTGAATCTGACCACTCTGGTCCATCTAGTGCAGAGGTCACGAATGGTGGAGCTATACCCCCACTCCTGCTCATGTCTTCATGTCATAATGCTTAATTAATTAAGCGAAGGGAAATATTTAACTTACCCCTTAACGTAAAGGCAAACACCGCGTTAAACGGAAGATCCTACCTCATGGCGCGCGCCATCTTCTCGTAAGTCATCCTGGGGTTGCCGTGGCGCCGGCCCCACAGTCTGGCGAGCCAGTCCGTGTTCAGAATGCGGAAGATTCCCTCGTCGCGCTGCACCCAGTGGATGCAAGGGGCGTTCCGTGGGTCCTCCAGAAGGTTCAGCAGGAAACGCCAGAGCATGACCCGCTCGATGCGGCCTCCTGCAAGAGAAACGCGACAGGTACAGTGACAGCATTCAAGCCAACCGGCGGGACCCGCTTCTGCCGCTCTCCCTGTTAACAGGCCGTGGAGGCCGTCGAGGCTACCGCATTTTCTCTACAAATTTCGGTGAGGTTGTCAGCCTTACCCGCCGGCTACCCTTTACCTTCAATAAAATTTCTGGTACTCGTTTCAGTTAGAGGCTTAGTGCGGCTGAAAGGATTAGGTCAATTGAAAAATACAGTTACCTCATCGGGAATCGAACCCGCAGCCTTCCGGTTTATAGCATTGTGCCTCAACCAACTAGGCTACCGCGCATCCCTCAAGACTGTACTATTTAATATAAACATGACGACTCTTTAACTTCATTAAGCGAATGTAAGGTCGTTGCGAGAATCAAACACTGAATTATTTGTACTTGTCGTTACATTCAGGTTTTAAAAACGAAACCACGCATGCCCGTTATTGACCGCATCGACGCCGCATGGTGATAAGTACTGCGAGCACAAAGCAGGACTATTTATCCCGTAACATCTCATCCACCCTGCCCTGTCTAGGCATAATTCGCGCTTCTCACTACATTGAAAAGCAACAATGCTGACCTCAGTCTTATTACTCGTAATACACAGTAATGGAACTGTAAGCAAATTAACGAACCCATAGCTGCATACGAGCGAGAGCCAGTAAATAAGTTACAAATCGATATAAAACGTAAAACACGTGATAGTCAAATACGGAAGAAATTTAATTTCTCAACATATCCTCCAGCAACATTGACACAAACTCGTTCCATCGCTTGACCAGTGCGTCGAAACCCGCGGCATAGAAGTCTTTCGGACGATGTCTCAGCCGCGTCTGCACCTCCGTTTCATCCTCTTCGTCACCAGAGAAACATTTGCCACCCAGATGTGAACAGCTCTACGCGACAGACACTTCCCACCGTAAACCGTAAACGTTTCTTTATGAATATCCTTTGCATTGCGTCATTTTGCCCACAAAATACGCACAACAGAACCTTGCTCTTTTCGTAGGATACCCTTCAAGCATGGTCGTCATTTTGACTACTGAAACCAGCCTCTGAACATGCGCATGCTACCTACACTATCATGAAGCTGGACTGTGCTGCTATCTAGTGATACATATAGAAAACCTATTACGTCCATTACAGCTGTTTTACTTACATTTGTGACATATTTACTGACGCTCCCTCTTAAATTCTTTTCTTTTGCCAATCTTTAATAATTGCCTCTTCTTCTTGAAAACGGAAATTGAATATGTTAAAAGCTCTAATAGAAAGACAGAGATAAGTGAGACTTTTCTCCTTTCTAAACTTCATCGAACTCTAAAAATGCCAGTGTGCTAGAACGAAAGGTTTGTGAGCAATAGGAAAAGGAACTGTTTTCTGGGGGGGGGGGTTCATGTGTGCAGTACCTCCCCAGGGAGGCCACGTAACGTCGTGCCAAACTGGACCGAAATAGGTGCTACGGTGCGGAAATGTATAAGGAACAGACACGCGCTCCCTTTTGCTGGTACAGTATACCACATAAGGTTCCTAGCGACAGTACAGTGATGGACATAGACTGCTTTATGCATTATGCCTTACCAGCCAACAGAGGAAGATGAGTGAAATAATTCGAAGACAAGGACTTTTATAGATCAGATAATATTGATAGATCTTTATAGAACTTAAGCGGTTCTAGGGGTGGTGATCGTTGATGTTGTGGTCTTCTGGGTTCTGACAAACGTGTAGTTGTGTAGGCGGGTACTGACGTTTGGGAGGAACAAACTGGCTCCATCTTCAGTGAGGAACCAGCAAGAAGCAGAAACATACCTTGAGTAGAGGAACTTCATGAAATAAAAGTCTTGCATGTGGATAGAAAACATGCGGTATGACGGTTCAGTTTTCCATCCAGATACTTTCTAATTAGGAGGGAACAATCTATTATTCGGTGCCGACGCACTCCGGAGCGTATTTCAGACATAGCGTACAGAATGTGAGGAAGTAGGCGAGAACTTGAAGGGTGGGTTCATTTCTTTTTACCTTCGTCCACTTTGTGAGATATCTTAGCTGGCCTGCCACGCTTCTTCTTAACTGGCACTGTCACAGGTGTTTGCAGTCTTCCTGCAACAGTGTCGCCCTCTAGTGTTCGCAGGGATGAACCATGCCGGTGCAGTGGCACGCGGTCCAGTTTCCAGAGTTGCGTGACAGCCTGTTGTATGGCGGGTGGCAGCACATGCAGCCGCAGGAGCGGCACAAGCTCTGTGGACACATTGATTTGTTTGTAGGTTATTTAAAGACGTTATATCAACTGAACAGCTTATGTAAGACGATAGAATGATTGGGAAAGATAAATTGGAAAATAATCCCCCGTAGCTTTCGTTATGTAATTATCGCAACATTTTGCTCCAAGGGCTGAGGAAAACAACGGAACTGTCACTGTGGACCGCCGGGAATAGATCCCGGTAAAGGCAAAATTATCCCTGTACTTAATTAGTTCAGCATCACGTCATGAAAACAAAGGGGGGTTGGCTGTATAACTCCACCGTTCTTAACCTCTGTACCAGATGGAAGTGAGTGGTCAGCTTTGCCCCCAGGAAAAGAGCCCCCGGTAACCATTGGATAGGAGGCTGGGTGGGCCCAAGAGCCGGTCTGGACGCTGTAGAGAAGAGAAAACACTTCCGCTGCCAGGAATTGAGTCCGTGCAGTCCAGTCCGTAGCCAGTCGCTGTGCTGACTGAGCTGTACCAGGACCTTACAAAGACAACAACGACTCCGGCTATGCCAGCCTTCACCATGGCTAAGCACAGGACTTGTTTTCGGCTGGGAACAAATTTGAGGCCTGCGGTTCTATTTCCGGCAGCAACATTTAGAATTTGTCATATATGACACATATATATGAGGTTTTCTGCCCCGAATATATACTGAAGATTGTCTGAACCTTCCATACAGTACCGTGAATAGAAATGCATGGAGTTTTACTCCTATACCCCCAATACGTTATCACATGCTAATTCGCATGCGTTGGGATTGGCGCAGGAGTCCTGAGAACTGTATTTATTTATTGTAATTAGTCTGGCGACGAGGCCAGTAACTCAGGCTCTACAGCGTCGAATTGTAGCATGATTGGTCAGTAATGAATTGGAAGGGATGTGGAAGGAAGCTGTACCCGACATTTGCATGGAGAGACTGGGGAAATAAAAATCGAGCATTTAGTATAGTTGGTGTCGCGATCAAGGTTCGAACATGGCACCTCTAGGATAAAAGTCAAAAGAGTTACCGCGTGAACTAACTTGCTCTAAATAATATGAGTATATGTAAACGCAGTTCCTAGAAAAACTCATTCTGTCTCCATTAACAAAAAGTAAAGTAATCCCTGTAAGAGGCAGTCGAGGCTCCCACATTTTCTTGACAGTCGCCTCACAGTTGGCGGTGAGGTTGTCAGCCTTACGCGCCGGCCGCCCTTTGCCCCCCAGGAAGATTCCTGGTACTCATTTCTGTTAGATGCTGAGTCGACCCCAGGGCCAAAGTGCGGCTGGAAGGATTAGGTCAATTGAAAAAAGAATCCAGTGCCCTCATCGGGAATCGAACCCGCGACCTTCCGTCTTGTAGCATAGTGCCCACACTGTCTCCACAATAAAAGAAAATCTGGTGCTGCCTAATTAAGTAACCAAAAGTATTCATAGAAACAGCAAATATTATTCTGCTGGTAGACTGCAGAGTTTTTATATGAAAGCTGAGTGGTACACATAGTAACCACTGGGCTTTAAAGGGTCAGAGTCCTGTACTTTTATCACAGAAGTGACGTATGTATGTCGTTGCAAATCCATTTCCCCAAACGTCTTTTTTATCTAAGAGGAAAATGTCGCCAAAACATATCACAGCAACACAAAGCAAGGAAAAGTTGGTGCGGTGATGATGCCGACAGGCACAACAAGGAAGTGCCCGCCTGCCCGATAGCTTTGTCGCGTACGCGCAGATTAGATACATACGAGCTACCAGTTTACTCGTACTTGGCAACAATTATAGTTTGTTAACCTCCTGTATTTCTCTGCGTCAGAACAGCGAACAGCGAACAGCGAACCTGCACTGAGCAGGCGCTGTCGGCAGCTGTTGCGAGTCTCTGGTCGTGGGTCTCAAGACAAAGCGCCAGTCGCAATGTGACTTTGAGTTTTATTTGTTGAAACAAGAGTTTTCAGGTTGGGGGAGTCTCGAATCTAAGAGAGTAAGATATGGTCATGNGGGTCCCCGGGAGACTCGGACCCTAGAATGACTGCGCTGGCGAGGGCCAGCAGCAATTATAAAGAACAGACCCATCCTCTCGTTAGAGGGGATGTTACCTAAGGACTGTGACCGCAAATGTTCATTTGAAAAGAAAAATACTGATCATGAGTCTAATGGGGATTGGAGACAAGACGAACTGGTTGGCGGTAAACCTCCAGTCGTAAGGTAATCCTGACTCTAAACTTGGAACATAAAATTCAGTGGAGATAAGACTCCAGCCATTTACTTTTCTCATAGACTTAAGATCCCTGAGCCACATCCTAAATTGAATGCACAGAATATCCCCTTTGTCAGTCATGTAAAATATCTGGGTGTAATCTCCGGTAAGAGGATCACGTGGAGACTTCACAAGCCAAGGCATTCAGAGCATTCATTACAATTTACTCCCCATTCAAAAGCGAGCCTTTACGCGCTAACATTAAACTAGGCCGCGCCATAGCTCAAGCGGTTAGTCGCTGGCTTCCCACCGCGACGGCCTGGGTTCCATCCCGGGTCTGGTCAAGTGGGATTTGTGGTGGACAAAGTGACGTTGGGGCAGGTTTTCTCCGAGTACTTGGGTTTCCCCTGCCAGTCTTCATTCCACAAATTGCTCCACAATCACCCTCACCTATCATCTGGGGCTGGTACAATAGGCCAGAAATGGCCGCAGTACAAGGGACTTAGTCCCACCCACTAGCATTAAAAAAAACATTAATCTAATCCTTCATAAGGCACTGATCAGATCAGTAATGACTTAGCCTGCCCCGCCTGGGAATTACCGGCAGACACCCACCTCTTAAAATTGCAGAGCAGGCAAAACACGGTTCTCCGCACCATTGGGAATTTTCCAAGGTGCACATCGGCCCGCGATTTGCACACGGCTTTCAACGTTCCGTATGTATACGCACATATAACAAAATTGGGCAGGTGATAAGCAGAAATCATACAAAATCATGATAATGAACATGTTCGTGATATAGCGGTATATAACAAGGCGAAGCCAGATATGTAAACTATAATACGAGGCTTAAACTTGGTGGTGGTCAAGCTTACGACCGTTCAAGTGACTAAACTACAGTTGCAGAATAAGACAGAGATAGTCATGATCGGCTTTGCAAAGCCTGGCCTGACAGAGGACCTGCGTATGCAGTGCAAAAGGAAGAATTTTCAGTAACACGCTATAAATGCGATACGTACACTTGAAGAAAGGCCAAGCATATTCATAAGAGACAAACCCATCTTCTCGTGTGAGAGGCTGTTACATAAGTACTATTACCGCAAGGGTTCAGTTAAAAAGCCCGGTCGTGGGTGTCAAGGTGTCTGACGACAAGCTGAACCGACTGGCGGTAAACCACCCGTCGCAAAGTAACTTCGACTTTGACGTTTAAGTTAGTTGAGTTCCCGAGTTTCCAGTTGCAGCATGGGTTTGAGAGTCTCCGGAATTGTCAGTTGGCAGAACAGCTGAGAAGAAATAGCAAGAAAGAAATTAGGCTGTGCTTCATAGTGTGCTGTAGTCACAGTCAGACTGTTATAAATCCGTTGCCAAGATACGACTAGCGAAGATTGAAAAGGCTTAGCGAGTTCTAGTGATTTGTGAAGTGTGTAAATCAGAGATTGCGCTGTATTACTCGTACTTGTAATTACGAGTCGAGTGTATAATGTGTCAACAAGTCCAGTCATCCAATCCAAACCCCGTTTATAAGTCACTAAGAGCCCAAATACGTGACAATATATAAAGTCACATACACATATAAAAATAATTATCATTTTTACAGAACAGGCATGATATGCAGAAAGAAAATACTGGTCGCTCGTTCGTGACCTACTACGTAACTTGCCTTCATACGATGTATTGACATGATTACTGAAAGAGCCGTTGCTACGTTACGGCACAGTAAATACGCGATGACATTATGAAACAAAGAGTCGTTGTTACACAGCGGCCGGTAAACGACTATGACGTGTTTTTATGCGGCCGCACAGTTTTCGATGCGGGTATATAACGAGGACCAGAGTAGGAGAGTGGAGAGTGGAATGCTTCAGTCAGTCAGTGAAAGGGAGCGAGAGCCAGCAGAATCACTCCCCAGTAGAGAGGGAGTGACCAGCAGTATTCAGACCCCTCCTCTCTTCGGAAATAGAGGCCCCATTCCAAAACACATAAAAGTCGGAACAAAGAAAAATATGGTCGTGAGTCCCGTGGAAATGGGAACCGAGGATCACTACGCTGTTGAGGGCCAGCAGCAATTTAGCAGTCAGTCAGTCAGCCAGCCAGCCAGTCACCAGGCGATAAAGACGTAAGCAGAGGGCATTGTGGGAATCCATTACTAGAAAACGACTGGTGAACAGACAGAAGACATGTGTGATGCAGTACAGTAATTTGTAGAGTGTGTAGATTAGTGAATTTGATATAGGTACCTGTAGTTGCGAGATATGTGTCCAGTGCAAACAGCGCGGCTAGTCACTAGCACGTGACAGCATTATCGCCATACAACTCGTTTCCGTGATAACGGGAATTGCATAATGAGACAGATAAAATGTCACGCTTACAAAATTTATATATGTAAGGATAGTTAGGACTATGACGAAGTCTTTCTTTTATTGAAAATATCAAATTCACTATTCAGTGATGACGGCCGCATAGGCAAGAAGTCAAACTGCACTGGCTCAATAAACAATAAACTTCAAGGCTTCAGAGGTCGCTATCACTATACACTCTCACTGTACACATTAAACAAGAATTAATAAAACTATTACTTTGAAAGAAAAAATATGTGTTTAAGGCAATGGAAACTCAATAAAGACTTATTTTAGTTATTTTATTTTGGATGTGTTCAGGAAGTCATGCTTGGCTTCTGAACAAGCAAATTTGACACTGTCCATATTGCTGAGTTATCTTGAAAACTCTAGCACTTATGGAGAATGCTGATAGAAAAGGAACTTTGCGTAATGGACTTCGAATTTGATGCCAGCAAAATATTGGCTCGCTTGGGAATGTTTGAA